TCCACCTTTGCACATGAGGAGACTGAGTGAGGGGCGTGAAGTGGAAGGGTGGTGGTAAGTCCCAGGGTGCAGGGGTAAGTCCCTGGGGAGTGCTGGCTGCTAGAGATGCAAATGGACAACTGTTCCTGTTTGTGCATGGTCCAAATCCATGCCCAGCTTCACTTTAGCACTGAAGTTGGTGTTTAAACCCAGGCAATTGGGAGCTGTTTAAAAGTGAGACGGTTGAGGGTGACCTGGGCTCAATTGGTTAAGTGTCTAACTCTTGATCTCAGCTCAAGGCTTGATCTCAGGGTTGGGAATTGAATCCCCACATTGGGCTCCACACTGGGTGTGGAGACTACTTAAAAAAAAAAAGTTAGGAAAAAAGTGAGATGGTTTAAAACCAAAGATAGGAAAATATTTAAACACTTCTTAAACCGGCTTTACAAACAGATTCTTGACTATGTACAGAGCCTCACTCTGATCTGTCCTAGAGTTGCGTTCTGTGGAAGAGACCACTGGAAGCTTTCACTGGAAGCAATGTCTGTCTTACATCTTTGAAATATGAACATATGTGCACTTGAGAAAAGTCACAGGGACAAATGTGTCCTAAGCTTGGTTACTGCATGTTTGCAGGCCATTCTGGAGTCAGATTTAGCTGGATGAGCCTCTTCCTTAGAAAAGTCCTTCCATGGCAAAAAAAAAAAAAAAAAAAAAGAAAGGGGATAGTGACCCTTTCTGGAAGCTATCAGCCAGGGATGGAGTGTTCCCACATATGACAAACATCTTTCTAGAACCACAGGTGACCATGCCTCCAGACCGGCACCTTTTGCTTTGAAATCTTTGACATGTGGCCTTCAGGGTATAACAGAGGCTGTGGTGGGAAGGATGGGCAGTCTAGAGTAGTGGAAGGGAGGGCAGGACAGACCAGGGCCAGAACCTGCCCCAAAGGCCCCTGCCATGAGGCTGCTGTGTGTTTTGGGATGAATTGCTTCCCCTTTCTGCATTTCTTGGTACTTTTCAACCAAATGATGGGGTGAATGTCAGAGTTTTAAGAGCTCTCTCTCTCTCTCTCTCTCTCTTTTTTTTTTTTTCAATTCCAGATCAGGACATAGAACATTTCCAGGCCTCCAAAAGCTCCCCCTCCTCCACTCATATCAGCTCAGCTCTTTTATGATTAATGATTCTCCTTGACTGAGCACATTATTCTTTTGGACTCTTTCCTGTTCTATCTGGACCCACCCTATCAGCAGTTGTATGTGTAAAATGCACGCTGGGTTTCTAAAACTTCCTACGGAGAAAAGAATGTAGAAGCTCCCATTAATGATTGTGTGTGTTGGTTACATGTTAGAATGACAGTATTTTGGATATATAAAGTTAGATTAAAAAAATCCTATGAAAATTATTAGTCACCTGGTTCTTTTTACTTTTTTCCACCGTGGCTACTAGAAAATGAAAAGCTCCCTATGTGTGAGCATTGCTCTGGGCTCTGTCTCCTTCGAAGTCAGGAATTGCCTCTGACTCCTGCAGCCTTCGCCGTCATGTACCTCTGCCCTGTAGGTGTTTGGTGACACGCGGAGGGTGCTAGGGACAGTGGCTGACAGTGGAGGTGTGAGCAAAGCGGGGAGGTGGTGGCTGTGCTTTGCTCAGACTTGCCTTTTGTGGTTCTCAGCTGGGGACTGGTCCTTACAGAGACTCCTTCCCATCTAGTGTGTTGCTCCCAGGTCAGGGTCTGGCCACCTACAGAACTGGTTTTGCTGTTTCTGCCTCTTTTTGAAATGTTACAATGAAGCCCACTCCCTGGGGGTGCTGCTGTCCACCCGACCAAGTGGAGGGCCCGTTCCAAGGACTGCTTGCTGGAAGGAACAGAGGGGGTCAATGTGGGTTGGGTTTTAGGCTGACTCAGGCCTTTTGGGGACTTTTTGTAGCGTCCACACCCTGAGGGGAAGTGTCAATTCACCTTTGAAGCCTCTGGGGGTGCCAAGCATCCTGTGTGGGGGAGGCCTGCTGGGGCCCTCTCCACGTGGCTCCACCCCTCCCACACTTTTGGCCCCCTGGAGGGCAGGTGCTATGCCCAAGTGGGAGTGGGTGAGGTTGCTTCTCTATGTACTTTTTTGATATAATCATTTTTTGCCTATCCTTTTTATTTTTTATTTTATTTTATTTTTTTTTAAGATTTATTTATTCATTCATGAGAGACACGGGGGGGGGGGCAGAGGCAGAGACACAGGCAGAGGGAGAAGCAGGCTCCATACAAGGAGCCTGATGTGGGACTCAATCCCGGGTCCCCAGGATCACACCCTTAGCTGCAGGCAGCGCTAAACTGCTGTGCCACCGGGGCTGCCCTCCTTTTGATTTTTAACTCATGTCTCAGTATGTAGCATAAAATTTAGGGGGGTATTTTTGGGTAGCCTGAGACATAGCTGTTTTGGGGGGGATAATTTTATTCATTTACATTTATTGTTATGTTTGTTTTTACTAGATTCTGTTCTTCTGGGTTGCTCCTTATTTTGGTTGTGATTTGATTTCTCATATACTCATGGTTTTAAGTTGGATTCTGCATAGCTCCATGTACAGTTTTACTGTAGATTTCTTAGTGCCTTATCAAACTTCTTCTTAATCTAAATCTTCTAATGGCTAACAGACGTGAACCGGAGTATTCTTATTTCTTTAGATTGCCATATATAGCTATCAGAAAGCAGGGGAACTTTGGACTTCCTGCTAGAGGCATCTCGAGCTGTTGGCTTCCTCCTCCTCTACTCTCTGCCTTCCCCCCCCCCCATACCCCTGGGGCTCAGGTTGAGAAACACGTTAATTCTCAGTTCCTCTTCCCAGCCCATACATCCAACTTGTGTTTGGTCACTGTCTGAAGGCAGACACCAATGCTGAGCAGCACAGTATGATGGAATGGGAATAGAAAGGGTCAGAAGGATGTTTAGTCATTCTGGGCTAGTTACACAATCTCTTCAAGCCCAACCCATGGATCTTATCTTAAAAAAAAAAAAAAAGCTAATATGCTGAAGGGAAGGATTAAGTGAGAAGATGTGTGAGGCTGCACCTGGCACATATTAGTTGCTTGATAAATATTAATTAACCTTCCCCTCTCTGTTGGTATCTTAGTGGTTTGGCATGATAAATGGCTTGTCTTTATATGCAAAACATGACCTTGAGTGTTCTCTTGGTTTACTCATTCTTCTAGAAGGCATGGTGACTTATTTTTTTTTTAAGATTTTATTCATGTATTCAGAGAGAGGCAGAGACACAGGCAGAGGGAGAACCAGCCTCCCTGCGGGGAGCCCGATTTGGGACCTGATCCCAGGACCCTGGGATCACTCCTTGAGCCAAAGGCAGATGCTCAACCACTACAGGTGTCCCTGTAGTCTTTTTTTTTAAATTAAGGTAAAATTCACATAAGATAAAACTAGCTATTTTAAACTATACAATTCATTGGCATTTAGTACACTCACAGTGTTGTGCAACCCCTATCCCTATCTAGTTCCCAAACATTTTCCTCTCCTCAGAAGAAACCATGTCCCTGTTAGTACTCGCTCCCCATACCCACTCCAGTCCCTGAAAGCCACAAATCTACTTCCGTCTCTGTGGATTGCCTTTTTTTTTTTTTTAAGATTTTATTTATTTATTCATAGAGAGAGAGAGAGAGAGAGAGAGGCAGAGACACAGGCAGAGGAAGAAGCAGGCATCATACAGAGAGCCTGACGTGGGACTCGATCCGGGTCTCCAGGATCACGGCCTGGGCTGCAGGTGGTGCTAAACCACTGCGCCACCGGGGCTGCCCTGTGGATTGCCTTTTCTGGATATTTTATATAAATGGAATCCTACAAGACGTGGTCCTTTGTGTCTGGCTTCTTTCACTCAGCATGATGGTTTTGCGACTCATCCATGATGTTGTGTAGCAGCACCTCATTCCTTTTTGTGACTGAATAATGTTCCATCATATGGACAGACTATAATTTGTCTACCCACTCTTCTGTTGACAGACATCTGGGTGGTTTCTACTTTTTATCAATAACGCTGTTACCAATAACGCTGCTGTGAATATTTGTGTCCAAGTGTTTGTGGGGATATGTGCTTTCATTTCCCTTGTCTCGAGACAAGGGTAGAACAAAGGGTAGAATTGCTGGGTCATATTAAAGGGTTTTAAGAATTATGTTTTCCAGCGTGTGACCATGTCTGGTATCCATAGGTTCTTAATAAACGGTGTTAATTGCTTACACTATTTCCTTAGTGGCTTGGCATGGCAAATGGCAAGCCATTTTTGGGGGGAGGGGGGATGATGTTCTAACCTTTAGACTTGTTGTTTGTATTTTGGTAAATTTCTTTGCAACCTTTCACCATCCTGAAATTTTCCTAGTTTTTTGAAGTCTCGTGATCTGCATACCAAAATAACTGTTGATTCTTCATGGCTTGAGTTCTTGAATAAAACCAGATCACCTGCTTCATATATTCAGGTTTTATGGTTGAAGCCAGTGCACTCCCAGGGGAGACAGTGGCTCTTTCCATTCAGCTCATCACGGTGGCTGAAACCAATTATGGTAGGAGATAGGCCTGAGCTATAGTTCAGGGCTTTTCTCTCTCTCTTCCTTTCGTTTTGGATAGCCAGCCTGACCTTAAACACTTAGCACACCAGCCTGCCTTCCCACCTCCTCTCCTATTCTTCTCTGGACAGGTTGGTCTTTCACAGACAAGGAAACTGAAGCAAGAGAGTTGAAGGAACTTGCCCAAGGTCACACAGCCAGAAAAATGACAGTGCCAGCATTCGAGCCTGGTCTGACCTTGACCCATCTCCTTGGTCTTGGGACTAGACTACATCCCAACCTCACCCATTTCCTGATCTCCAGTCACGGTTTCTCCTCTTCTTGCCAAACCACGCTGCCACCACATTTTCATTTTGATCATTTCTTAGTATTTTAGGTGCCAGGACTTCCTGGCGTGTTGGCTCAGCCACACTTTGATCCTGTCCCTTCTTAACGGGAACTCTGTGTTTCATTTTGTTCTTGCAGAATTTTGCTAAAGAGTTTGTGATCAGTGATCGGAAGGAGTTGGAAGAAGATTTCATCAAGAGCGAGCTCAAGAAGGCGGGGGGAGCCAATTACGACGCCCAGACGGAGTAACCCCAGCCCTTCCCCTGCCCCTTGCAAAGTCATCCGTCTGCTCCCCGGGGGAGGGGACCGCCACCCCAGCCACCAGCCCACCAGCCCACCAGGGACCGGAGACGCCGTGAGAGGCAGTGCGCGCCCCCCGTCTGCAGCCCACCTCCCCTTCCCCGTTCCCCGACCCTCAGCCCTGCTGCGCCCTATCTCCTGAAGCTCATGGAACATCTTTCTTTTATCTCCTTGTTTTTTGCACCCTCTTGCTTGTTCTAAGGAAAATCATTTTGATGCCACACCACGCACATCATCAGATCCGAGGCGCCTCCTGTGGTGACCCCTTTTCCTGGCACTCTCTTACCCTGTAGCCTGCCTGGCCTCCCTCGCCACCAGCTCGCATCGCTTGGGGCCCGGGCTGCCGTCTAGTGTCCCGTGGCGCCCACCTGCTTGGCCAACGTGCCTGTCGGGGGCCGTCTTCGCCAGCACACACGTCGATCCCACGCGTCCGGCTCAGACCCCCACCCTGAGCGTGCTCCAGGGTCCCTCACCCCCCATTCAGAGTTGCCTAAGCCACGCATCTGTCCCAATAGGGATGGTGCTCGGCAGTGAGACATTCAGGCCCGACACCCATCGCACAGAAGAGAGAAATTTTGCCTTAACAATTGCCCGGCAGCGGCTTTGGCACGCAGTCTGGAGCGGCTCATTCCTCCCCTTTGGCTTGAAGTCTCATCGTGGCATGGGGTGGGGGGCGCAGGTCCATGGCCAGCTGTGACCAAGAGTCTTTCAGGGTTCCCCTCGGGGGCTCCCAAAGTGACAAGGATGCTTGGGAGGGAGGCCAGGCCACGCAGTTGGAATTCAGGTACAGCGGGGGGCTGGTCCCCCATTTTCGGGGAGGCCCTCTGTGCCGACAGGGACAGCAGGGGCAGGGGCAAGGGCTGGCTCTGCCACCGAGCCGCTGGGGGAGCGGGTCCCTGCCCTTGTGGCACCAAAGCTGTGGTGTTCACCTTGGCTCTGCACCACGCCTTCAAAAGGATTTTTTTTTTTTTCAAAGAAAGATGAGATTGGCTTGGTTCTTCATGAGCACAGTTTGTGTTGTTCTTTCTTCTTTTCCTTGCTCATTTCATTTGGGGGTAGGAAATCTGTGCTGTATTGGGGTTGTGAAGAACATCTGCCCTCAAGCAGTTTACAGAAATAAACATGGTTTTTTTTTTTTGTTTTTCAAAAAACAAGTTTGTCTGATTTGTCTTATAAAGCTGCTTTCTCTACTGTACCAACAAAGACAGTCATTGTGTTCAGATCTAACCGGAATTCCTGGAGCTCTTGGGGGCAAGGCACGTTCATATTCAGTAGCTCATTTAATTTTTTTTTTAAGATTTTATTTATTTATTCATTCATGAGAGACAGAGAGAGAGAGAGGCAGAGACACAGGCAGAGGGAGAAGCAGGCTCCATATGGGGAGCCTGGTGTGGGACTCGATCCCAGGTCTCCAGGATCATGCCCTGGGCCAAAGGCAGATGCTCAACCACTGAGCCACCCAGGAGTCCCTAGCTTATTTAATTTTTAATGACAACCTGAAGAAACAGGTACTGTTTATATTCCTGTTTTATGGAAACTGAGGCTCAGGGAGTCGGAGTGAGTCACCTGAGGCCGCCCAGCTAGCAGGTGGCAGAGCTGGGATTGGAACCCAGGTCTCCCAGTGCCCCTGGCGCCGTGCCTGGGAGGGCAGCGGAGACGCCCTGCCGGAGGGACAGGGACAGGCACGTGGCAGCAGAACAGAGGCACCCCCTGAGTGGCCAGAACCCTCCACTCTGTCTTTTCAGGAAAAGCTGAGAGAAAGCGCCCTCCTTGGCTGGGCTGCCATGGCCTTTCTGCGGCTGTCCTAGAGCTCAAAAACTCGATTTCCAGCACACCAGCCCCGGTGGGAACCCAGAATGAGGCCGGAGGAGCCTCAGACACACAGACAACCCGATGTGGAGGAGCTGATTGTGGGATGGGGACAGGGCTGAACCCAAATCAGAGTGGGAAGGACCCTGGCAGGTGTGGGCAAGGCTGCCCCCAGCCCACCCCGGCCATGATGGGTGCTAATACCTGCCCTCTGCCTGCAGCTCTGTGGCTTAAGGCAAGTTAGTTAACCTCTCTGGGCCTCCGGTTCCCCGTCTGCAACATCAGCAGCAGTGTTTCCTGCTGGGATGGGTTGGAAGGCAAAAGGGGCACAAAGGATTATGAAGGCGTCCCGTAGGGGCTCAGCTCTCATTACATCATGCCCACCACTAGGTCTGGTTAGCTCTGCATGCCCCAGATTTTTCCTACACCCGGAACAGAGGGAGCCAAACTAGGTCTCCGGCTTTACGGCGTGTGGGTTTTAGCTCTGGTCAGAGAACTTGGGACAATTACAGGGAAGGATGAGCCCCTTCTGGAAGAAAAGCCAGGCTCTCTGAGGGAAAATTATAAAGGCACTGGGCTTGGTCCAAGGCATCAAGGAGGGCTTCCTTGGGGAGGTGACACTGAGAACTGAAGGGGAGGAGCAGTGGGGTAAGCAAAGAGGCAGGAGGTGGACAAGGGGATTGTGGACAAAGGTCCTTTGGGATGTTTGCTCTGGGGAAAAGCAAACAGGGTGCAGCTGGGTTTATATGTCAAGGAGCTTGGTTTTAATCTAAAGTGGCAGCTCGGGCTGTTGCTGGGATTTCAGAGGGTGCCTGATGGGATTGTGAGGTCCTTGAGGGCAGAGAGAGGCCTTGTCTCTACTCGTCTTTATCCCCTGGAACCAGCACCTAGCAGGTGTCAGCTAACGTTGCCTGGAACTACCTCCAGCAGCTCCTGTCTCTGCCCGAGGCCTGGGCCAGCCCTGATCCCCCGATGGAGGGGTCAGGGATGGAATTCTGGGGGTTCCAGTGTCTGCTCTCAATCACTTCACTTGGTCCTACAACAATTGCTCCAGATTACCCAAAATCGAATGGTGTAAAATAACCACCACATTATCTTGCCCTTGATTTTGTGGGACAGGGGATTTAGGAAGGGCTCAGCAAGGTGGTTCTCGCTGGCAGGGGTGTCATCTGGCTGAAAACACATCACTGACCTACTGTCTCATGTGGCCGGCAGCTGGTGCAGGCAGTTGTCCTGAAGCTTAGCTGGGTGTGGATCTGGGCACCCAGCATGCTCTCCCACTCTGGCCTGGCCCCAGGGGATGTCCCCGAGGACCAGGGGCAGGCTGCATGGCCTTTAAGCCTTGGAAGTCATGTGGCAGCATGTCCACTGGACCCTATTAGGGAAGTCATGAGCTCCTCAGATTCAAGGGGAGGGGACACCGACCTCACCTTTCAGTAGGAGGATTGCTGGGGCATGTGTGTCCTTGGTTATGTCCGGGCACACTGCCAGGGTGGGGGCACCCTCCTGCTCAGGGGCTGGCATGGGTGTGGGTGGGGCCAAGGTGATCCACAGTAAAACCAGCCAACTATGACCTTGGTGTCTCTGTGCCCTCTGGGGCGCTCACTGCTCCTGGCCAATTGATCCTTGGGGGAGACTTCTGTTTCTCTGCTTTACCCTGGAGCTCCTGATGGATGTCAACTCTCCGGGCGTCTTTGTGAGGTTGGAAGGAGCTCCACCCCGGGATGCCACCCTATTGGGGGCAGGCCCCCTGCTGTCCCATCCCAGGACATGTTGTCCTTACATAGTCCCTCCACTGCTTTCTGGTCCCCTTTGTCAGGGAACTGCAAAAGAGAGGCAAAAACAACCCAAAGGTCCACTGTGAAGGTGACCACCTGGGGCAGGAGGCGGCTCTATGCTCAGGCCGAGTCAGGTTGGAGGTGACCAGTTCCTTCACCCTTCTGAGCATCAGTGCCTTCCTCTCTAAGTCAGGACCGTGACAAAAGTACTTGTCTGTCTTCTCTGGACTGCTACACAAAATACCATGGACGGGGGCAGGGGGCTTATAAACAGCAAGAAATTTATTTCTTATAGTCTGGAGGCTGCAAGTCCAAGGCCAGGGCACCAGCATGGTCAGATGAGGGCCCTGTCCTGGTTCTCACTGTGTCCTCACATGAAAGGAGTGAGGGAGCCCTATGGGGTCTCCTTTATAAAACCAATCCCAGGGGATCCCTGGGTGGCGCAGCGGTTTAGCGCCTGCCTTTGGCCCAGGGCGCGGTCCTGGAGATCAAGGATCGAATCCCACATCGGGGTCCCGGTGCATGGAGCCTGCTTCTCCTTCTGCCTGTGTCTCTGCCTCTCTCTCTATGCGACTATCATAAATTAAAAAAAAAAAAAAAAACCAATCCCATTCCTGAGGGCTCCACCCTTATGACCCTATCACTCCCCGAAGAGCTTGCCTCCTAACACCATCGCACTGGGCATTAGGATTCCAACATGTGAATTTGGGGGACACACCCATTCAGACCACGGTGTTCCCTCTCACATTTTTTTTTAAGATTTTATTTATTTATTTATAAGAGACATTGAGAGAGAGTCAGAGACACAGGCAGAAAGAAAAGCAGGCTTCCTGCTAGGAGCCCAATGTGGGACTCAACCCCAGGACCCCTGGATCATGCCCTGGGCCCAAGGCAGATGCCCAACCACTGAGCCACCTAGGCGTCCGCCATCACACGTTTATACGACAACCAGATGAGATGGACCATGCTACCTCAGCAGGACAACATCATCTTGGTGTTATGTGGCTACTCTCTAAGGGGTCCCAGGAGACCATCCTTGCTCTGGAGAAGGGTTGGGCTATGAGCAGCTTCCAGCCTGACACCAAGGCAGTGACAGAACATCTAGATCCATCTATCCCTGCTGGTCAGTGCCACTGCCCACGGGCTTGCCCTTATAGCTCTGGGTTTGGCAGATGAGAACACAAATGCCTCCTGTGGTGTGTTCTGTCAGAGCAGGCCCACAGCTGGATGGGGCTTGGGAGGGGCTCTCAGACACCCTGATGGGAGGAGGGGCTGGTGCTGGGAGGCAGCGCATGGTGACTGGAAGGGTGCCAATCCCAGCTCCGCCATTTACAGGCTGTGTGATCTTAGGCAGGACCCTTCACTTCCTTCTGGAGTAGCCAGGGCAAGGCATATGGCCAGGCTAAAGTTCAGGGGGTCAGGGATGTATCACCAAATAGTTGTGAACAGAAATACAGTCTTCCACACACGCCTAGTAAGTGAGGCAGGACTTGAACCCAGGTAGTCCTTTTTTTTTTTTTAAAGCTGTATTTATTTATTTGAGAAAGAGAGAGAGAGCTCGAGAGTGAGCAGGAGAAGGGGGAGAGAGAGACTCCCAAGCAGGCTCCATGTCCAGCTCAGAGCCCAACGCAGGGCTCGATCTCACAACCCTGAGATCATGCATGACCTGAACCGAAATCAGGAGTTGGACACTTAACCGACTGAGCCACCCAGGTGCCCCTGCACCCAGGTAGTCCTAAGCAGCTTGTCACTAGCCCCTGCTGGAGGTCTGCCACGGGAATGAAGGAGTGAGCGCCAACATTCTGCCCAATAGAAAGTGACTGGTTGGCTTCACCTGGGTCCCCAGCTGCCCCGTTGGCCAGGACAGGGCCCCTTGGCAGGGGGTCCTTCTGGGCTGTAGTAGGGTGCCACAGGAGTTCTGGCAGCTAGGCTCCTATTTATTTTTTTTTCAAAAATTTTTTTTAATTTTAAGATTTTATTTATTTATTCATGGAGATGCAGAGAGAGGCAGAGACACGGGCAGAGGGAGAAGCAGGCTCCATGCAGGGAGCCCGATGTGGGACTCTATCCCGGGACTCCAGGATCACACCCTGGGCTGCAGGCGGCGCTAAACCGCTGCGCCACTGGGGCTGCCCTAGGCTCCTATTTAAAGAAAGAGGGACAAGTGTTAGGCAGCTGAACCCCGCCACCGCCATGGTGCCATGACAGTGTGAAGACCATTGCCACTTTTTCCTCTAGTTCAAGACAAGAGCAGAGGAGAACTGCAGGTGTCTCAAGGGGGAGCACATGATGCTCTATCTGGGGGCCTCTTTGATGTGCCAACCACCCTTAAAGGCAGACCCATAAGCATCTTCCTATGGGGACAAGAGCCCAAGCTTTGATTCATTCTGCGGGTCTTGGTCAGGAAGTGTTGAGTCACAATCTTAAAACCATAACCTTGGAGACAGAGAAGTCAAGGATTTGACTGGCCACACAAAGAGCAGGTATAGGGCTGCCCCGCACAGGAACGGCTGGGGTATGGTTGGCGGAGTCTGCACACAGGACAGGCCGTG